GTCATTAGCACCTCTAGTAATATATATACTGAGGAAAATGGTGACGTGTTCAATACTTATTTTACCCGCTGGATGTAGTAAATTTTTGTATTTGTTCTTAAAAAATTGTAAATGTTATTTTATTTCTTAGTCTTAGTTTGAAATTTAGCTGCTAAAGATGCTACATGCTAACATGATGCCTGACACGTCCAGCTCTGCTTGTAGGAGGGGATGGTTTTTATTTAATCCTGGATAAATGGCATAAAAATAGTGTTACACTTGTGAATCATTTAGAAACCTAATTTAATGGAAACTGTTTGATTCACTAACAGTTTCCAAGGTTAACAAAAAAGCGAATCCACTAAATGAGAAACTAGTTCTGCTTTTAGCAGATTAGCAGAACTGTGCCCACCACTGGAAATTTCCTTACTTTTTGCTTTCAGTCTTTATCAAAACGTTGACCATTTTACCAGTTTATCCTTCAGAGATTTTCTATTTTCAACCTGCTTTACGTTTAATTTGTGAAATCTTTTGTAGAAGAGTGACCGTACCCTGACAGATCCATGTGCTGCAGCCTCATCAGGTACATGTCTGATAAGGACTTGTTGGTTGGCTCACTGCTCTTTGAGTCACTCTCCTTCATGTCAGCTGTGAAGTTCCTGGGGGGAAGCTCTGGTGGATGATCAGCAGCTTCTGCAACACAAACATATAGCAGACCTTTAGCACTTTTGAAGAAGTTGCAATAATTATACTCCTGTATAGTCTTAGAAAAGTCTGTAAATTAGTGTTTGGTAGATTGTTTCTTTGTTGTAACAATGCTTCCTGGCAATAAATCTCATAGCGTAGGAAATCTTGTTAATTTCTCTTTTAAATAGTGCCACATTTGTAAGGAACATGCATYTGTGTTATGAGCAGTAGAGCTGAGTATGAGGGTTGCGCACATGAGAAATGAACCAAATCTTCTCTGTCAAACATCTGATTTTGTTGTTATTAACTCTTGTTTTGAGCTTCTATCTCCAGGTGCTGCCAATCAGTTATAGGATTTTCTTTTGATTTAACAAAGAAATTATCTACCAAACACTAATTTACTGACTTTTTGTTTTAAGTATAGATACACAAACATGAGATGTTTGACCTTGGTCCTCGTCTACGTCCTCCTCCCTCTGGACGGGGTACTGCAGGTGCGTGATCAGACCCATGTTGGGGCTGTAATAAGCCTCCACCAGCTCCGGTAGCAAAGTGAAAACCCTAATAGGAACTCCATCTGAAGCCTATCGAAACATAAACATTATTTATTCAACTTCTACATAAGCACACAGAGAAAAATCAAAACTGCTTATTGTCATATTTTACGCTGTAGAGTTTTAAACTAAGATGATTTAATGCTGAGAAACAAAGTATTTTTGGTCAAACCTTAAATATGATCTGATGCAGCATTTTGAGGCGTCACTTTCAGATTATGACTCATCAGCTTTCAGCTCAGTATTTATTAAACTGAATGAGTTAAAGTTGTTTTTCATGTGGTTTTTATTGAAGCCATCTTGACTAATTTCTTATTATCCAGTGGTTAATGTGTTATTTTAGTAAGAGCTTTGCAGCTAAAACCATTCAGCAGCAAGTCATACTGAGATCTCACAGGTTCATGATGTCCTGTCTGTTACTAAATTAGATGACATCATTTATCAGTTTGAACTTCCAAGAATGTCAGACACTTTTTTTCARTCTGTGTTTGTGTCAAACATTAAGCTCCCTGTTGTTTTGTTTTTTTAACCTTGCTCAAAAAATCGGTTCTTAGACCAAATGTAGGAKGTTCTGACTCAAATGAAGTTACAATAAATGCAGACAGAAACAATCCAGAGTTTTATGTCTTTTTATCATCATCATAAACAAAAATGGGAATCACTACATTTTATTATTCTGATTTAGCTGTTTTATGTTGGAAAAACCATGATTTAAAACAATTTTATTCAGCAGATAAAACAGAGCTAAAAATGCACCTAACACACATTCTTTTTTTGCTTTTCTTTCTGATCAAACTGTTTAAATTGGTTTTAACGAAGTGCATTTTGACACCTTCCTAAAATAATCACCTGTCATTTATTTCAAGTTATTCAGGAAATACAAAAAAACCTAGCTCAGTTTCAGTCACGCTCAACACACAGGCTGTTATTGTCGGGTTAGAATCAAATGATTTGATCACCTGAGGACGTAGATGCTTTTACCATCGGTGGCCAGAATCACGATGTGATGATTTATGCAAAAAAGTCAGTTTTGACAGAAAATTAATTAGGAATGACCTTTTTAAGAAGGTGACGGTTTTTATAAAGTGTTTTATTTTATTTGCCAATGTTTTACCAGGCAAGTCCCATTGAGATCCCAGATCTCTTTTCCAAGGGTGGCCTGAAAGCAACCTATTGCACATGTTTTTGGGGGTGGAGGAAACCAGAATACCCGGAGAAAACCCACGCAAGCACAAGGAGAACACGCAAACTCTGCACTGTAAGACCCCAGGTCCAAACCAGGAATCGAACCCAGGACCTTCTTCCTGTGAGGCGTCGGTGCTAACCACTGAGCCGTCATGCTGCCGTAAATACAGCAAATGTCACAAATACCGCGAATACCTTCACAGTCTATATACATAAGTCTAAAACAATTCTTGAGGGAATGCAAAGATGATCTAAGGCAGTGCTTCCCAAAGTTGGGGTCGGGACCCAAAGTGGGGTCCCGAAACATCTAAATGGAGTCCTGAAAAG